CTACGTCTTTATCTGTTCTTTGTCTGGTTATTTTTCATGCTTCATCTGATAATTTCGCAGACTTTAATCATGTACATTGGCTTGGTCTTGTATGATATTTGGTTCACCCAATCCATGTTCTCATATTGTCTAAAACACTAATACACATGTTAATAATAACAACATGCATTATATTTGTCTTCATTCAAAACCTTAGTGGGGCTTACGAATTGCTTCCTCTGACTTAACATAAGGGACCTTCCTTGATGGTGTACTTCATTCGTACCCTCAGAAACATTTTTATGGATATGATGTGTGTCAAACAGACTCTATGCATAACAAATCATATGATCTCACTAATTCACATATCACATGTCTTATCATATCATTTCACTATCAACTAATCTCAAAATAACAATTAATAATTCAAACATATCAATTAAATATTAGCAGTCAATTGCATAAGAAGCACAACACTACAATTCATACATAGCTCATAATCATATCTATAACATACTCAAATACCACAACTAGTTAACAATATTAATTAATACAATGATTACACATGTTTGCGGTTTAAACATAACTATGGAGAAAAGATAGATACTAGAAGGGGAGGTTGAATAGTGTATATTAAAAACTTCCATGTTTGCAAGTAAATAAAGTAATATCTACGATGGACGAAGTGTTAGCAAGAGTAATCAATGAACACAAGCAATTTTTATACTAGTTCATCTCAACCACTGAGGTTACATCTAGTTCTCAATTTAACCAGATTGAGTTCAACTAACTTTCCACAAAGTTACAAGTATTCTTTCACCAAACAACTTTTGGCTCAACACAAGTGTTCGTTAACTGGCACACTACAAAAAAATATTAAATAATATAGGTTATTTTGCAGAGGTTTTAAAAACCTCCTTAAATTATTAAATTAGGTGCAAATACTGCAATTTTTTAAATTAATTTACGAAAGTTTTTAACCTCTTCTAATTAAAAAATATTTTCCCGCTTAAATCTCATTTTTCTCTAAAATAAATTATTTTTCCGCTTAAACCCGCGCGTCCCTCTTCTTAAAAATCAGAATTCTCTTTTGTGAAATGTGAAACCCTAAACGACGTTCGAGTGGCATTCGTAGTGAAGCGTGGTGGCACCCAACAATTACATCTCCGTGCTCACGCTGCTGTTGCATTTCGTGCTGAGTTGGGTGGTTGTCTACAAATTGGGGTTTGGGCTGATTGGGTCATCTTTGACGCTGAGTTGGGTGCCCAGTTCTTGCACATACTTACTCATCAGGCGATTCTTGCGCACTGCTGTCTTTCAAAAGGTAAATGAAAACCCTTTAATAATGGTCGAAGATTAAACTCCTGCCAGTATGTTTTTCTGCATTATTTTTGTTGACTCAGAGTAGACATGCGCGTTGATTTTATATTCGAGTTTGAAATCCTTCTTCCATTTTACACTTCATGGGAAATTAGGTGATGTTTAATGTTAAAATATGTGTTTGGTTGGAAACTGAATATGTGATTTTATATTCGAGTTTGAAATCGTTCTTCCATTTTAGTATATTTGTGGAAAAAAAAAATTCTTTTTGTAGCATGACCATTAGTCAACAGAAACACCTAAAATAATACCAGCTAAATAGCTTTCAATAATTCTACACTTACCTTAGCAGCACCAACTGTGTCATCAACTGCTTCTCGCACCAATCCGAATTTTGTTAGCGTGTTCTCACATTGAGCAAGAGCCTGAAAAGTGTTAGTCTAGGATATGTTTGTGATTCATGAAAAGTCCTATGACATTCAAAAAACATATAAATTTGGATGGATTATGTTATATGGTGGATTTTGAGTGACCTTTTAGTTGAATGTATAAATAACACTCATTCAACAATCCCACCTAAACCCTTAAGACTTCCCTACTCTTTCATTCCTTAGTTTTTCACTCGTGGCCAGACTGTTGTTTCTTCCATCACACAATCCCTTCACTTTTCGTTGAAAGCAAATAGGCAATACAGACATTGATACAGTACTTTACAGACATTAGTTGTAAATGTCTAAATTCTTTTAAGTTAGCTATACCTATGATTCTAAAGTATTAGATAATGTCTTTTCCTAGTTTGTATAACAGGAGATTGGATTTTCTTAGGTTTTGTCACTCTGTTAAATAGAAAACTTTTCAAGAATATTCACATTTACAACTTAAAGATCGATTTTTGTGTATGGGAAAACACTTGTATTTTCATTTCCTATTTTCTCTATTAATTATAAAAATGAATTTTCTTAATTTGTTTCTTAGTTTCAAATATTAGAACTTGAAATGATGAAGGGAATATTTTTTATACTAATTTTATTTGTATTATATATGTAATTAGTTAAATATTTCCTAGTGGATTGTGAATTGATTAAGGTACATGTGAATTCGTGATTCTTTGGATTCTGTAACAGTTTTTCTGTATTTTCAAGTTGTGGAGTTTTCATAACAAAGCTGTGACATAATGTATAGCAGATTAACTTTGTATTCTTTATTAACACTCTCAACAATGTACCATATCTTTCTGCATTTATGCAGCAAGCAAATATATGGAAAAAAAAACATAGCAAAATCGCTTCTACAGTTCTAAAATAAACTTTTATTACATGAATATATAATAGTAATATTATTTTACAGAAACCTGTAATATATATTGTTGTTTTTGCAACAGGAACCAATAGAGAGTGTTAAAGGTGTTGTGTTGTGTAAGAACAAAACCATATAAGATTAACCCTTTTCTTTTGCAGAAATTAAGAAAGGATCTGACCTTGCACATCCTATGAGCTGAATCACAGATCCAAAGAGAAGGAAAGTACACTTGAAAGCCAACCCCACTGCTTTCCAATACGGACCCAACAACCCATCAAGCACCTCAAACCACTGAAACAGTGAGTTTCAATTTAGAATATAGTTAATAGTTAATATGATATTAGGTTCTCCAAGTGAAAATTGCTTAAGTAGTATTTATATACATGTTCCTGTATTTGCTTCTCCAAGTCAAAATTGCAGAATTTATAGAATTAAGCTTAAAAAGAACAAATAAAAATGAGAAAATGTTGAGGGGCTGCAACTTCCTAATCTTCTACTCCACCTACTTCTCTGTCTGCCTCTTCATTAGTCACTCTTTTACCAAATTCACTCCTTTCTTCTACTTAGGAATTTTCTAATTCCATAGTGGATATTCTCATTATCTTTATACTGCCCATGTGGTGGTCTGAATTCTGATGCTGTGTAGCCCTTGTTTTCTCTTTTAATATGCCTTTTTAATAGGAGGTTTAATTTATTAAAATCGTTATATGTGGGAAAGATCTAGATGGGCTCGTCATCAGCTGTTATGTGGAAAACTTGATGTGCTAACCAAAGTGCTTGTGAAGCATGATGCCTGCTGGCATGTTTTGATTGTGTTCTGTGACATGATCACTTACAACCTGCCTATGTTATCGACCTGTTACTTTTGGTTGCATGCTGGGTCAGGTTTAGAATAGTTTATATGAATTCCTCATACAAGTTGTCTTCAAGCTATCATTTAACTTGGGCTGTTATGCATGACAAACAAGTAATTTCTGTAAAATATATCTGACTTGTAGTGAAAGTTAATAATGAATTGTTAGAAATACTTGGAATATCACTTGTATCAATACAGTTTTATTTCGTTTTAACTTTTAAGTAGAGCTGGTGCAGGCTCTTATTATAGAGACGTGCTGCATTGTATCTTTTCTTAGTTTTCTGTTTTTGATTCTTTTAGAGTTCAGTTACAACTGAACTATGTAATCATTCCTATGAATTACAATTTAAAAGCCTAATTAACTAAAGCAAACAGTTTCATGACAAGCTGAACAATTCAGTGTAGAGCCGCGACTTTAAAGCACGATTTTAGGTCTGAAAATGTCCAAACTGGGTTTTCGTCCAACATGAGAATTGTAGATCTCTGTCTTATCTTTACAGGGACACCAAGTTTTCCAAATTCCGAGTTGAATAGTTCCAGATATGGCTTGTACAAGAAACTGTGTCAAAACAGGAAATTCTTACGGAAAATTAGTAAAATTTATAACTAATTCCTAAATGATTCACTAATGCAAATCTAAACTAAAACATGAATATAGGATACTAAAATCAAATAAGGTAAAAACACATAACGAAAGATATACTAAAATATGACTATCAGTATGACAACTTAAACTGATATAAGCTGAATTAAAAAAAAAAATTACTATATAAGTTTCTTGTATACAACATATCATGGGCCATTTATATACCTTGAGAGTATTATCTGGTCTCAGTGTATCTGCTTTCAGTTCCCTCTTATTGGCTGTGTTTGACAAAATGATGGATTCAACTATATTTCATGCTAACATAGGATTAAGAAGTGTTTTTCATAGTTGTCTTTTTGCTAAAGAACAAGTCTCTCTTTAGAGAGTTCAGTCAATAATGAACCGAATTATCAAGTCAAGATAAATTGGATTATGTATAGTTAGCAAGCATTTTGTGCATTGACCATTCAATGCTGGGGTTGTTTGTAAAGCACTATTATTGAAATTAACAATAATACATCTAATATATGCATAAATTACTTGCTGCATTATTATAGGATGCTTATTCACATCTGTTAGTTGCTGCAACCACTTGTTATATGAAATCTTCATCTTTAAAATTGCGAAATTATGATTTCAATATGCACTTACAACATAGGTTCTGTGATTTTCTTTTTCAGAGCTACAAGGAATTAACTGGAACTTCTTGGACCTATTTGTACTTCATTAGCTTCTACGTAATTACTGTTTTGCTGCTTTTGAATTTGGTATGGTTTACTCTGTCCTTATTTAATACCTTTTCCGCTGTCAATTTTATGGAATACAAACTATATATCAGGAATGAGAACATTGAGAAGTGACAAGTGTTTCTCGTATGGACATGCACAATTCTAATTCTTTACAATTAAATACAACTTCTAAAATATATTTAATAGAAAACAGTAATAAATCAGTCAATAATGAACCGAATTATCAAGTCAAGATAAATTTGATTATGTATAGTTAGCAAGCATTTTTTGCATTGACCATTCAATGCTGGGTTGTTTGTAAAGCACTATTATTGAAATTAACAATAATACATCTAATATATGCATAAATTACTTGCTGCATTATTATAGGATGCTTATTCACATCTGTTAGTTGCTGCAACCACTTGTTATATGAAATCTTCATCTTTAAAATTGCGAAATTATGATTTCAATATGCACTTACAACATAGGTTCTGTGATTTTCTTTTTCAGAGCTACAAGGAATTAACTGGAACTTCTTGGACCTATTTGTACTTCATTAGCTTCTACGTAATTACTGTTTTGCTGCTTTTGAATTTGGTATGGTTTACTCTGTCCTTATTTAATACCTTTTCCGCTGTCAATTTTATGGAATACAAACTATATATCAGGAATGAGAACATTGAGAAGTGACAAGTGTTTCTCGTATGGACATGCACAATTCTAATTCTTTACAATTAAATACAACTTCTAAAATATATTTAATAGAAAACAGTAATAAAAAATCATTTTTGTTGAGATCTTTACAATTAATAATAATTGTACTGCACTGATTTCTCTATTTTTTTATATTAGAGAACCCAACAAAGAACATGAAAAATAAACTATATTTAGGTCATTCATAAAAAGAAAACACTGCAGCCTATACCTATTTTTTCTACAAATCCTTACAGGAAGAGTTTCCCATATTGCCTCATCACTCATGATTTCTATTACAATTTTTGGTTTGGCTGGATGTTTTGTTGGTTTAGTTCTAGTTTTGGTTGTTCAGAGTCTGAATGGACTACTCTCAGTCCTTGGTTATTGGGTTGGGAACTAGTTGGCTGCTACACATCTCTAGTTTGGTGTTGCTATTATGGTTTTGGCTTCATGGAGTTGTTGGTTTGTAGTTCTAGTTTTAACTATGGGTTATGTTGTTGGTTACATTAATTGGTTGGTCTGTTTTGGTCCTTGGCTAATATAGTCATGGGTGTTTGGAATTGTCATTATCATATAATATTTTTATATATATTTTTCCTGACTGAGTGTTTTTTCTTTTCTTATTTCAGCCAAACGATGCTTCAAGTGTTCCTAATACACCTTTGGATGCAAGAGGATCATCTGGTGCTAGCAACCCTTAGTTTGCATATAATGTATTTTGGATTTAAAGTTTAGTATGAGGCTAATTTGACAATGTTATGGATTTTATGTTGTACTTGGATTTATAATAGAAGTTTGAATTATAAATCTTTGAACTATATGTTGTGTTTTTGGTTATTAATGGAATTTCTTCATCCATTTTATGTGTTTTTTTTTTCACTAAGTTTCTTATAAATATCAAAAGTGAAAATGGGAAATTGTAATACATGTAGATTATACAATTAAAATGAGTATAAAAATTATTATACAGGAAAATAGGGAGGATTAGAAACTCCACAAAAATATATTGATTAATGATCGTAATAATTAACTTACTTTAAAACCTCCACTAAATAATCTTTACTGTTATTCCACTTCAAAGCCTCCAGTAAAAAATCTCTGCAATTAGCATAGCTTTAAAACCTCCTTTAAAAAACCTCTATAGTTAGCATATCTTTAAAACCTCCTTTAAAAAACATCCACTATTAGTGTAGGTTTAAAACCTCCTTTAAAAAACCTCCACTATTAGTGTAGGTTTAAAACCTCCATTAACAAAATCGCCGCTAAACACTCACAATACCAGAGGTTTCTAAAAAATGCTGTTAATTGCTTGCGGCGAATGTAACTACGGAGGTTTTTAAAAACCTCTGCGATTTATTTTGCGGAGGGTAAAAACCTCCACTAAACGTAAAAATAACCTCCACTGTTTAGCTGATTTATTGTAGTGGCATTTTCAAGCCACTACCCAAGTATTCTTTTTACAAATAACTCTCTTAACTCAATCCCAAGTATTCTTTTGCAGACAAACCTCTTTAGGCTCTACAAACCTCTTTAGGCTCTATCTTATAAAAATGGTTATGAAGGTATTACAAGGTTGTTGTTGTTGTCTCTTTTTGACGTGATTATAACAAAAGTTTAAGCACAAGAGATCTTTTGAAAAAAAAAATCTATGTACATGATTCTCTCTAAAGTTGTATATGTTCTTTATGTCCCATTTTTGTTTCTTGAGTTCCATAACTTCTTATATAGTAGCTTCGAAAGAGATGACCGTTGGAGCTTCTTGAGTCTAATTCATATAATTACTTCATCTTACTCCTTCGTTTGTCTAGAGAGAGAAAAAGTATCCATTGGTGCATTAAATGCTTTAATTAATGTCTTTCACCTAAACATACTCATTATCTTTGATAACTCAAACTACTTATCAAATTATAGTAACAAAGTGGGTACAACAAGAAGTAAAGTCGATGTGCAACGAGAATGCAGTACTTTTTTAATGATTTTTCCATAAGATCCCGGATCTTTAATTGTCCTTTGTTCTGATACTTTACATGCCTTTATACACCTTTAATAGAATGTGAGTTCCAAAACAATGGTTTTCAATAATTCATTTGAAAATTCAAACGCGTCAGTCATAATAAATAATAAACGTTAAGAACATGATAGACATTTTTGTATGCTTTGTCTGATTTGCTTTGTCTTACAAATGCTACTTCATCTAAGTCTAAAATAATAAATTTTTGAAAATGTTTTCTTCTCGAAAGACAGTGTTTGTTATCATTAAAACTTACAAAAAGTTAGGGATCTAAGATCATCTTTTGACCTAACAATAACAATTACACAACATCATCCGATACTCCTTAGGAAAAAATCATTATTAGATCATCTAATCATATTCTAACACCTTGATCATAGTCACTAAGTATTCAAATCAATAGTTTAACTAGCTTAACAACCTTATCAATATCACACATTAAGTCCTCATACATCACTATCATCAAAATAGCTTGTCATTAACAATCAAACGCTTAAAGGATAAAACTATTCATCATCCTCAGTTACAAACTACATTTTCACAACTTTAATTTTTTTGAGACATTGTGTGATCTAAATACCCTATCTAGAGCTATATATATGATATCAAGTTGAACTTAATATTATTATTAAGTTAAAGACAATTATCTTCAACTTCTATATGTTGACCTCGAGATATAATTATATCATCTACTATTTTTAAAAAATACAAAATTGCAATATTTCAACCTAAATCTGACAATCTAATCTTTGTTCACTAATTTGACCATAACTCGAGTTATAGAGCTCTTTTTTAAGTGATTCCAATGGAATTTGAAAGCTAACATCCAAGGCTACAACTTTTATAAAGATTACAAAACCTAATTCTACCATTTAAGTCTATTTGAAAGGCTTACAATGTACACACGTTACATTTTGCATATAGAATATAAGGTTCATCTTTTAACTCACATAACTCAATCATTCCTTAACATTTTCATGTGATTCTTGAATATTAACTGTAGCCCCAAATGTGTATTTTCTAACCCAACAATCAAAACTCAATTTCATTAATCGCATAAGTATTAAGGTATATTCATACTAGAATTTTTAGAACCATACACAACTCACATCCAAACTCTTTTCTCCTAATCTAATTGGTAAAAACATAGATTAAAGTTTGATATTACTCTATTATACCATCCAATACTCAAATTCAATCTCAATTTCACATAATTGGATACTCATAACATCTTCTCATACGATTATCCAAATGCATTCCCTTAAGGTTCCCACAAGAACACGCACCAAATTAACCATCAACAATTACAATTAACATCAATAGGAGAGTTAAAGAGTCATGGAACAAATAACAAATCACCAACATAAAACAATAGGGTTTCCCCCTTCATATGTAACATCCCAAATTTTATTTAATGAAAAGATCCAATCCGATGTGAGTAGAGGGGTTGTTACCTGCAAAAGGCACTCCAACGCACAAGTCAGGACAAGCACAAATATCTAGGATAATTAATGAACAGTGACGTTACCTTTTGACCTGAGCTATTTATACTGACATTTATGGGCCCTGGACCCCATGGGCCTTGCAACATAATTACCGTATTAGGTAATACACTTTAATCGGCTAATTAACCCCTAATATCTGATTAAGCATACCAAGTGATGATAGGCCGATCCAGGTGGCCGATTGACGTTCGGCTAACTGGTCATGCCATTCGGCGGCCGATAGGGTGGTGGCCGAACCCTCCTACCTATACACTACCCCCCAGCCTTGAAGGAAGGTGAAGCTTTCTTTAAAGGTAAAACGGAGACAGTTACTAGGGTAAGGTGAACAGTTGCGTACTTGTAACCGTTGGATCTCGGGAATCGAACGGTTACGTATTTTCAAAACTTGAATTTTCCCGCCCGTTTTTTGAGCCTATAAATAGCTGCGTGGTAGGGCCATTCACACGTATTGCTCTCAACCGAATTGTGGTAGCCGAAGGGC